CGCTGGCGACAGTGGCAGTGCCCGCTGGGGGTTGCAGCCTGCGCTGTGGCACGGCACCGGTGTGGTGCCCGTCCGTAAGCTGGCTGCTTCACGCAGGTCAGGCTTGCTGCTGCAGTATGGACAGTCCTTGCTGGTAAGGAATATAGCTTTTGCAACATATGTATGAGGTGTGATTTGCTGCAAACTCAGCTGAAGTCTTCTAACTTGTTTTAACTCTCAACTTTTACTCAGAGGCTGGGAAACATCTGTAGAGTGGTAATATCAGCTGCACTCAGGTTCAACAGGATGTGGAGGAAAGATTTTTGCATATTTGCATCCAAGTTCACATGCTTCTTCTGTACAAATAACTCTTAATTTTATTTTTTTTAGCAACAAACAACAAATACTGTAGAGGAGCCACTTGATCTCATCAGACTCAGTCTAGATGAGCGAATCTATGTCAAAATGAGGAACGACAGAGAGCTTAGAGGAAGACTACATGTAAGTAACACTTTCAGAACACTACCATGCTTGTTCAAGTAAGCACTGGGCAGCCTTTTTTATGTATAGCAGTCTGGTACACGGATGCTCCATCCCTGGAAACATTCAAGGTCAGGTGGGATGGGGCTCTGAGCCATGCAATCTGGTTGAAGATGTCCTTGCTCACTGCAGGGGGGGGGTTGGACTAGACGACCTTTAAAGGTCCCCTCCAACCCATATGATTCAATGATTCTTCCATTGATTATTTAAAAATGTTGGTATAAAAGTGCAAGTAATTGTATCTCATGGTTAAAAGTGCAGAAGGAGTTAGAGAAGGTAGGCTAGAGGTTGTCTTAGTAACAAGGGCAGAACCCTGTCTCTTTTCAGAGGTGTAATGTCATCAGTGGCAAAATCTAATTTGTTCAGTACTCTATCTGCTATTAAATGCTCTCTAGAGATTCAAGAGATGTATTTTGTTTTTCTTGTCTCCTGAATGATACCAAGCAATTCATTCCACTGCTTTTGGCTTCCATTTCTGTGTCTGTGAAATAAGCAGTAATGCTGCAGGCCTCTGCTTGTGAAGTCTCTTTAAGATTGCATTAAGAAGAGATTATCATTATCAATCAGAAATCTCCTAAGGCACACCCTATGAGGGTATGATGGGGTATGTATTCAGCTGGATTCTCTCCAATCTGAAGTGCTTTCTTCTGAGAGTGACATGTCTCTTGACGAGAGAGTTTTTTGCTTTCTGTGAAGTCAGTCATCCTTCCTGAGTACTGTACTGTGTTGTGGAAGAGATCCAGTTGCCCCATGGGTTAACTGGGGCTCAACTGCTTTGGGAACACAAAGATGAGAAGTCCATGAGGCACGTGTGTAGTTTGCAACATGCTTCTGTAAGGTATTTGGAACACATGCTTGTTTTAAGTTTTTGTAGCACTGAGTGAATTACAACTTTTATAACATATAAGTTGGCCCCAGGCAATCAATTTCAGGAGGCTGGACTGGCAGCAGAGAATGTGTAGCTGGTTTTCTGTTAATGAAGTGTGTCTGTCTCTGAGTTCTTGTATGTGTTCTCACTGAAAGCTTCAGAACTATGTTTGAAATTGTAACTATAACTGATACTACTTTGTTTTGACATAGTGGCACATTTTGGTCAAAATCAGGCTAAACTAATTGTGTGAAAGTGCTGCTATAATTTCCATTTTAATGAGCTAGTGTTTTAATTTTGGAAGAAATAATAAACTAACTTCATTCCTACAGGCATATGATCAGCACTTAAATATGATTTTGGGTGATGTGGAAGAAACTGTAACTACAATAGAGATTGATGAAGAAACCTATGAAGAGATTTATAAAGTAAGGACTTTAGTGTATTTGTCACCATAGAAAACTTTTTTAAAACTAAACTGTGTTACATTTTTGAAGTAGTTGATTGCTGACTGCTTTTGAACAAGATCTAAAAGAAGTTGTGTGCAAATTGTTGTGACAGTATGAAGGACATCCAAAGCTGTGGTGTTGGTTGTATTGATCTCTTCAGAATGCCAGAACGTCGTACGTTTTAAGCTTGTATTTCTTGGAGTTGTTTCTCTGCTTTATGATTGAATTTGGTCATGTGCTTAGCAGATATGTTTTGTAAACTACGCTGTTGTAAATGGAAACTTTTCTTTCCTTCTTCATAGTCTACCAAAAGGAATATTCCAATGCTCTTTGTGAGAGGTGACGGCGTTGTGCTTGTAGCTCCCCCATTGAGGGTTGGTTGAAGCAACAGAGGATTTAACCTTGTTGGAAGTTTCAGACATTTGGACAATGGTTCGTGTTTTGATCATGCATTTAAAAATTCTCTACATGTTTTTTATAGGATGTTTTTGTCTGTTCTTTTGGGAAGGGGAGGGAAGGGGAACCATTTTGTCTTGCAGAAAGTATATGTAGTCAACTGAAGCAGTGTAAACCCAATGTCATTTTCTCAGAATTAATGTAACTGCTGTGAGTTGGCTGTCTTGTCACATAAGTAAAAGAATCCTTAATTTTTTTCAATCTTAGCAGTAGCACTGTCTTAAATTTTTGTTTTAAATAAATTTGGTTTGTATTTCAGATTTGTTTTGTCATGATTTTATGTTGAAGACAGTATTCTTATGTTCTTCTATAGAGCTAGTGCTATATTAAGTTGTAATACGTAGCCTCACTTACTGAGAAAACAGTAACTTTTGTGTGTGTTGTGTTAATTTCTATCCTTACTAATACGTGCGTCTTGCAGATTGGTGTTTGGAGGGGCAATACTACATGAATCAATGGTGCTATAATTTATGGCTTTTCTGCTTTCAAATTCTTGATACATATCCTTGTAGCAGCACAGTGGTATATACATGCATCTTCACTCAAGTTATGTAAAGAAGATGGGCTTCTTTACCATATTTTCAGATGTTTTTATTGTGGCTTGGCTAACAGAGCTGTGCAAGGCCGTAAGTAGAGACTGAGGTGGTTGTCCCACATGCTGTTGAATTGCCTGCTGCATGCATTCATTTCCCACTGGCTGTAGCCTGTTTCAGTTCTTGAATACATTAAATTCTGCTGAATTCATTAGGTGCTCATTAGTTATCTGCAGTGAAAGTATACTAGAACCCTGAACAAAGCTCCTTTTTAATACACACTTTCTCAGGCCTACCCCGTTTGTTATTTATTCTCCTTGTATGAGAAAAAGAAGGCACCTATGCTATGAAATGTTTTAACAAGTATGTTTGAAAGGCATGTGAGAGATGTAGGTCTACACTGGGACATTTCCTACAGAGCTTGGCTTGTGACTTAATAAACTTAATTTATTGAGGTTCTTAGGCATGCTCTGTAGGGATAGCAAAAGCAGCTTGCTCTTGCACTTTCTCCTACAGTTAAAATCTTCATAACTTATGTCCATAGTTTGTGATAGTGGTGAGGAGTGCAAGGTATGCCTTAGTAAGCTTCAAGCCAGATTCTTCTTAAAGGAATACTAACTTTTTTGGTAGTAAAATATATATACTCAGAAGATGAATGTATACTTTATGCCCTTCAAAATAAGGAAAGCAGGGACTGACAATCTGCTCTGCTTCCAGATGGCATCTGTACTCTCATGCAGTGTCATCTGACACTGGGATAGATTTAAAAAATAGGAGTGATAGCTGAAGCTGAAATAGTGAATCCATAGTTGAGTGTGTTAATAGCAATTGTAGTCTCAAATTTTTAATCATGTGGAGACTTGCTACCATATTCCTTGCACTTCGTTCTAGACAGGACAAATCACTCTGCTTGTACACATACACAAGGATTTGTTATTTTCAACTTGTGCACAATGCTGTTTTCATATATAGGTTCCTTGTATGGAAATGAAAGAAGAAAACATCTGTACAGCTTACTCCTATAATGTTATTTGAATGAAGAACAGGTATGCAGTGGCTTTGTAGCAGACTTTCCTCACTGTACCATCTTTGCTTGAAGCTGGCCTGGACCAGGATGAGAAAACTTTCCATGGTTCTCATCTATTCCTAGCGTGCTGTCTCTGCAAGAGTTAGCTCAGCAAGCATCAACTCCTGTTCCATATGTACACAAACCATGATGTCAGAAGAAAGCTAGTGACCCTACGGTTGTTCCCCTGCTGAAAGGGGTACAAGGATGACTGCACTGAGATCCCTTTTAGTCTGTTATCTCCTACCGCTCTAGCAGGCCAGGATAAATGCTTAGGAGGAGAGAGTGAGATTAGGTAAACACAGTGGTTGTCCACCAGTTCCCAGGGATCTGCACATCTGGGAAAGGAGAGAATATGTTTCACAGAACCTGAGGGATTTCTCTTCTGTTACTTAGTCTACGTCCTTTTAGGAGTCTGGTACGCCCTTTGCTGTGTATTGTAAAGGTATGTCACAGGCTGAGCATGTGTTCTGTGAGGAAACACCTTTGCTTTTGGCTTTGTCTGGTTTGGGGTTGGTTTTGAACTTACTGTCTGTCACTTCCATGCGTGTGACAGACAATGTTGGCTTGGTGGTGTTCAGAGACAGCAGATTATACACTTAACCTTTCCATCTTTTCTACTCCTAATTGTCCTTCAGTTTTCTCTTTTCCAGGTTGCAAAGACATTTTCTACTTCATCGTTTTTGAAAGCTGCTCCGTTCCTTTTTGTGCGATATGATTTTTGTATTGGAGGACTGACATGATACACAAGGTGTTGGTACATCAAGAACTTCTGCCGTTGTAAATTTTAGAATAAATATCTGTTAATAACACTTGTTAGGTTCTCTGAGAATGATAATAAAGATGTGAGGTCTACATTTCCTTTACGTGAGCCACATTTGCCAGCATAACACATTTATCTCTATGTCCAGTTTTTCTGTATTACAGAGTATCAGCATGATTGAAAGAGGTCAGCTCACTTGACATAGCTCACCTACATAGCACAGCTGAATCCCTGTAGATGTCTTTTAAAAATTGTCTCATCTGTCACGTTGTTTTGAAGTTTTAAGTGAGAGATTATACATGGTGGTTGCTAGCTCAATTGTTTAATTGATTTCTTGGATATTTGCTGTCGGATTATAAAGATCTGTTACTGTTTACGTCCCTGGAATGTCCAATAGCATCTTTTACTGACCTTCCAATTTTAAATGAGCTCTCCAGAGTTGGAGGCAGTCTCGGCTTCTCCATGCTGAATGTGGATTAAAAAAAAATATGTTAAAAAACCTTTTCTGCAGTCTTGTTGCTTTCTTACTGTTCTTTCTATCCTTTGATCATCTACAAGATGTACTAACCCTTTGTCAAGATTCTTGCTCCTAATGTGTTTGAAAAATAATTTATTGTTAATTTTCCTCAAATAATTTATCAAGATTTCTCAAATGCCTTTTCATATTGTCTTATATTTGTAGCATGCTGGAATCTTTAATACTACTTAGCTTGTTGAAGTTTGCCTTTCTATTTCTAGTAATTTTTTATAGGTAATAGTAACCTTGCTAGTAGCCCTCTGGTATTTTTTAACCTTTGGGCTGCATCTTTTTGATAGGTGGCAGTGTAATTTCTCAATTTATTGTCTTTAAAGAATTTCTGTTCTGCCTGCAAACATTTGACTCACAGCAGCTCTTTTTTTAAGAAGATTTTTATTATGCAATTTCCTTTTTCAGAAGTGCTGCTATAGGGGGACCTCTGGTGTCTTACTGCTTTTGTGAGAGTGTCAGCTGCCTGTGAAATTTCTGTGTGGACTTGTAAAATTGTTTTTTTTAATGTCGAACTCGTGTAGGACGCTAGATGGTGCTGCATTTCCTCAAATTCAAGCTTCACTGGCTTTGCCTGAGGGATGTATATAGCCTGTGTCAACAAGCCCTGTAGTTGTACAATTAGTCATTTGTTTTTAATTAGGAAGGCACTTGCTGACAGTTTTAAATTAACTCTGCTGCTCACCCATAAGTAAAGATCAAAATATGTTTTGACGTTTATGTGAGCACAGACCAAACCCCCAAAAGAGTTAAACAGCATGTGTGCCTTGCATTGTCAGATTTTAAAATGCGTGAACTCCAGACTAGCAGCTCTGCTAGTAGAATTAGCTGAAGAATTACTCTGCATAGAATAAATTGTGGTTAACCACTTTGCTGCTAAGCGCTGCTTGGAGTAGAACAGCACATTGCGTGTGGTATACACACACCCACTGATTCAGTTGCTAGTTCAGTAACTTCATTGGAGAACTTCATTGCAGTTAAAATTCAGCAGGGGGAACAGCCTGGAATTATGAATGTATGTATGTTAAACTCCCAAATGTCCCAAAGTGACAAATATTTCAGTTTATTTCTAGTCACCAGTGCTGCTGCATTTTTGAACCCATAGAAACGGATTTTGATCCAGTTTATGTATTTGAGCAAGCTAGAATTCTGTTCTAGGTCATGTAGGTTTCAGGTGGATTGTTTTTAAAGTTGAACAGAGACTGTGTTTCATTCCTATTCCCCAGCACAGGGTGAGCCCAGGATTTGGATAATAGGTCATAGTAAGACTTGAGCAGTGTGAGCAGTGGTGGACTTCTGCAAGGCCCCAAGACTGGAAAAGCAGGACGGTGTTGATCACGTTGCAAGTGCTGCAACATGTGTCTCCTCTTGGTGTTTCTGTTCTTGTTCTGTAGGCATTGGAAATCTGTAATTTGAAATATTTGAGAAGGAGGCTTATAAGTCCTTATTAAAAATGTAGCACTGGGAAGGGAGCTGATTTTGTGCAAGATGACAAATGTTGTGCATTGTTTTTTGGACTGATGACATGTACAGAAAATCCCATCAGGCTTATTAAGGTTTAAGGCATTCATGCCAAGATCATTGATGGGCTGAATACATCATTACTGAGGGTGTAGGACTCCCATGTTTCTAAACAGGAAGCTGCTTTCATATACTAAATGGGAAAGAAAAATAGAAAGTTCTACAGAAAATTGAAGCACAGTGTCCAGGCCAGCCATTTTTTTTGGGGGGAGGGGGGAAGAATGGGTGGAAGGAAGAGAATAGATGATGTGGGTTGGAGCGGAAAACCAGAACCACTGACGGAAAGAGATGTAGTCAGAATCCCTGTTTATGAGTGAATTTTTTTATTGTTACCCAAATTAGTTTGAATGGAAGAAAGGCCCACTCCCAAATTTTGGAAACTTAGGCCAAAAAGCCTATTTAGTTTTACAATGGCATTTGATCGGTTTATGATGTGACTGCCTGCAACAGCAAGGGACTCGACATGCTGACTGTCTGTGTGGGTGGACAAAATATTGCAGAACACACTGCATGAGCCTTTGGAAGAGTTAGGTAATTGACTGATCATGGAAGGGAGGGTAGCAATGTTTTCTTCTGTATGATACATTGTAAACAAAGATTTACTTACCGAAGGTGCATATGGGAGTGTTAGGGAGAGATCAGAATATTACAATGTAGGCATGCTTTGTGAATCAAGGATGTTGTTTGATCCAGAGTATGTACGGTGTTCCTTCCTTAGTCGTATACATTTTTGTGTTCTGAAAGGAAGGGATAGTGTAAACCTTGAATGGAAAAGATAAATTTTCTTATTTGTGAAGATAATAAAGTATTTCTATGGCAACACAAAATAGTTCTTGAAAACTGGTATAGTT